TGACGTATACCCACTTCTAGCCTTTTCCTGCATTTTAGATAAAAGACAGGCGCACAGGGCTCCCGAAATATTTTTGGAAAAAATTGATTTTCGTGTGGGGGAAGGAAGAAAAACCCCAAAATTACCCCAATTTAGCTGTGGCATAGTTTGGCTAAATAGAAAGAAGAAGAAATATAAATCGCCACGTGTTCGCATATGGTTATTTGTCGCAATCATTGTCTGCTCAAATATACAGATAGTCTTTGACCCCCCCCCCCACCCACACACACCACCACTAAATCCACCTACTACTCTCTCCCTCATTAGAAGGTTTTTGGAAAAGAAAGACAATAGCAATCGCACGTGTCTAAAATAGTTAATATCGCGATCATTCTCTTAATAGCCAGTACAACTACTACCACGATCACAGTAGCTAAAATAATGTCACTGCTATCTGTTTTACCATCAGAGTAGACAGGGAGTCGTGAACCAGAAGATTAGGAGCCGCATGGCTAGTGCTGTCGCCACGGACTGGTCAGGTTAGGATGTATAATTTCGCTCCCTGACAGAAGAACGCCATAACCTTACCGGTGGTCTTCACCTGAGAGCACTACGGTGTACCGGCCCAACCACAACTACTACTGCTGCTTTGAGTGGAAAAAGCAGTTACTGTGACTTAAAGCTCTCTCAGTAATCAGTTTGCCCCCCCCCCCCCCCCCCCCCCCATAAATTCACCGACTACTGTTTCCCTCATCGAAGTAGCTGAGAGGGGGAAAACCCAATTGAAAAGCAATTAAAACAGGAAAAATACACCAGAATTAGGAAATGAACGCTATGGTAAACATCACAGCTTAAAATTTCAACGCAGATGAAATACTTAAATCTAAATGAAAATAAATGGAAAACTATGAAATTTCAGCATAACCATGCAATCGAACAGTTTAAAATGAAATCATAAGTATGTGAAATGGTCAAATTTAATTATCAACTGGTTTACCAACAAACCTGTCCTTGTTTTTTTTTTTTTTTTTTTTTTTTTTTTAAATATATATCATTAAGGGCCATATGGCTAGTGCTGTCGCCACGACAGTGCAGGTGATGATTTTATTTTAGCCCCAAGTAAAAAAAAATACTACTGCGGATTCGAACCCTGGTCTCCCCCTCAAGAGCCGAGTGTTCTAACCATTCGACCAAGCAAGAGCCGAGTGTTCTAACCATTCGACCAAGCAACCACTCGATCGGAATAACGAAAAGAGAACATAACTATTTTAAATGTGTGTCCCTACTGCAGTGTCCCGATTCTAACACAACTCAAAACAGCAGGCAATTGTTTTCTCATAGGCAGATATTCCAAATATATTAATGAAACGGCAAAACAAAAGAAATCGCACGTGTCTAACACGGTTAATGTCGCAGTCAATGTCTGCGCAGACGTCGAGATAGTCCCTGATGCCCCCCCCCCCCCTCTTTTTCCCTACCAATCCATCGGCTACTTTTCAACTCATCGAAGGATGTTTGAAAAAAAAAATCAGAAAATAGAAATCGTGTCTAATATAGTTATTGTGGCAAATCCCTGCGCACAGATATAGATACTAACGGGAGCTACGGGAGTATTGCGCTGTACTACGGGAGCTATAATTAGAAATCACTAAAATTATAAATATTAGTTTCGAATATCATGGCTTAAATTGTGGTCACCTATCTCTAACAGTGACTGGTTGAATTTCAAACCATGATGGTTCAACATCCGGTATCAAAACAAACATATCCTGAAAATTTCAGCTAAATCGATTCAGTAGTTTCCGAGTCTATAGGAGGCAAACAAACACAGAAACATTGATTTTTATATATATATAGATCATCATGATCGATTTACACTTCTGTCGTTAAGCACCGTTTTTCGATCCATTGCTTGATGGGCAGCATTGGCTATTGTCATTCTGTGTCAATATTGAAGCTCTTTAATGTCATCAATCCATGTTTTCATGGAGCAACCTCTTGATTTCACTCAGATCTGTTCATATGAAGCGCATGCGTTGATAGTTTTGCATTTATTACTGAAGTCTAAAAGTCAGTTTTGTTTAAAATGTTCAAAACAGTGCTACGATTAAACATATATATGCAAGGTTTCTTAAACATACCACAACATCGGGAGTGGTATCAAAAGTTCAGCTTTGTTCAGTTAGGACCAAATTTGAACAAAAGTGCCAACTTGGGCAGCCCTGGTGACACAGGTGTGTAGTTGCTACCTGTCCTCCTCGCGACAGGGACAGTTGAATGAAAACATGGCGCCTGCGACGGCTCTTGTGGGCATGTTCTTTGTCGGAGCAAGTCTGGTCTTTATGGTGGTGGCCTTTGCCAGCCCTTATTGGGTCGAATCCTTTGAAGAATTCAAATCTCAGTTTGTCAAACTGGGCCTGTGGGAGTTCTGTTTCAACGACTACACCTTTTACAAAGATTATAATGGCAAGCGATACCTGGGCTGTTTCTACATCTTCTCCCCAGAGATGCGACCTATTTGGGAATGGGTATCACCTCGTAAGTTGATTACTGTCTTCATATTGATAGCACTGTTAACATTAATAGTAATACATATTTTCTGTTACATCTTATTGCGACTTTAAAATATTCCAGCAGTACTTTAGCGAAGTTGTGTCTCTGTACTGTTGTGTTTATCCAATGCGGAAGTGAACAAACAGCTTACCTGTAAACTTCACAGGTTGTCTTTTACTTTAGATATTAGCATTATTTCATTATTAGATGATTTTGGAAAACTTCCTCAAATTTTAATGATTGATTGTCAAACAAACAGTGGTAGCAGTTGATACATTAGGCAAGCCGTGTGTCCACATAAGCTCTGTCCTCATTCTGTTTTGCATTTGTCTAGGTAAATATTGTTATTATTTTCCACTTCTACCATGAAAGGTTGTGGGGAGGAACGCATTGCGATCCATTGATTGTAGCAGTGGCTGTTTCATTCATTGCTGGTGTAACTAGAAGGTTTTTAATGTCATCAGTCCATCTTGTCATAGGGTAGCTTGTTGTAGCCTGTGTTGGTCAGTGTGGTTGCATACTAATTAATGAGATAAGCAAACCATTTGTTCTTCTGTTTCTCTATTGATTTGCTGTTTGTTGTTCCCCCAGCTGTTTGATAGTAGCATTTATAACTTGGTCTCTGATTGTTAAGTTAGTAGCTTTCTTTAGACATCTCATTTCACAGGAATAAATCATTTGTTACATATATATATATATATATATATATATATATATATATATATATATATATATATATATATATATATATATATATATACTAGCTGTACCCGGCCACGCGTTGCTGTGGCATAGTTTGGCTAAATGGAAACGAAAGAAAATAGAAATCGCACGTGTCTAATACAATCATAGTCTGCTCAGATATAGAGATAGTCTTTAATCCCCACCCCACCACCCCCCACCCCCCAACTAAATCCACCTACTACCCTCCCCCTTATCAAATTTATGTCACTACCCCTCCCCCCTCCCCTCTTCCACCGACTACTGCTTTCTCCCTCTTCGAAATATTTGAAAATCATTACCTGGCGATATTTTTTTGTTGCTGTAACTGACATTGACATCCCTGTCCATCTGGACTAAAATGGGGAGCAGGAATTGTAATAGGTAGTGAATGGGGCTAAAGCAGTTACTGTGACTCAAAGCTCTCTCAGTTAATAGTTTGCCCCCCCCCCCTCCCCCCAAATTCACCGACAACTCTTTCCTTCATTGAAGTAGTTAGGAGAAAAAAAAACACTTGAAAAGCAAACGAACACAGGAAAAAAACACCATAATTAGGAAATGAACGCCATTGTAAACAGCACAGCTTAAAATTCCAACACAGATGAAATAACTAAATCTAAATGAAAATAAATGAAAATCTATAAATTTCAGCGTAACCATGCAATCGGAAAGTTTAACAATGCAATCATAAGTATGCGAAATGGTCAAATTTAATTATCAAATGGTTTACCCATTTACTTGTTTTTTTTTTTTTTTTTTTTTTTTTTTTAAATATTAAGGCAACATGGCTAGTGCTGTCACCACGGCAGAGCAGATGAGGATATTATTTTAGTCCGGGGCAAAAAAAAAAATTTAACGACTGCGGATTCGAACCCAGGTCTACCGGACATGAACCCAGTGTTCTAACCATTCGACCAAGCAGCCACTTAATCGGAACAACGAAAAGAGAACTCAACTATTAGACGTGTGAGTCCATACTACTGTGTCGCGATTAAAACACAATTCAAAACCGCAGGCAATTGTTTTCTCGCAGACAGATACTCCAGATATATTAATGAAATAGAAATCGCACGTGTCTAACACGGTTAATGAAGTTAATGACGCAGTCACTGTCTGCGCCGACGTCGAGATAGTCCTTGATTGCCCCCCCCCCCCCCCCCTTTCCCCCATCGAAGGTTGTTTGAAAAAAAAAACAGAAAATAGAAATCGTGTTTAATATGGTTATTGTGGCAAATATAGAGATAGTCTTGTTTGCTGTACCACGACCTACTCTATGTATTAGTATTAGAGAAGGCGTTGGCTGCACGTAACTCGCCGGCGAATGGTAAATACGGCGCATGCGCAATTACTAACGTGGCTATAATTAGAAATCACTAAAGTTATAAATATTAGTTGCGTATATTTTAACATAAATTGTGGTCACCTATCTCTAACAGTGACAGGTTGAATTTCAAACCACGACAGTTCAAAATCCGGTATCACAACAAACATATCCTGAAAATTTCAGCTAAATCGGTTCAGTAGTTTCCGAGTCTATAGGGGTGAAACAAACACACAAACATTGATTTTTATATATATAGATATATATATAGGAAAATGATATTTGACATAAAACTGCTTACACTTATTGATAAGATTTGTAAAGTAGCAGACTTCACCACTGACCCCTTAGGCAGATAATGAATAGACTCATTATGCAGGCCACATTTATTTCCCAGGACATTACCTGGGACCTATTTTAGGCTGGGAGCTTAGGTGTGGAGTCAAACTCAAGGTCTGCAGATGGCCACCTGGTCAGGTGACTACCTCAACTCTGAAATGTTAGACTTTCTTATATTCAAGGTCATGGCATCCACTGAGCCAAGATTTGGAGAGAAATGCTGCTGTTGAAAAGAACACACACAGAAAATCTGAGAGCAGTAAAATCAGATGGGCTTTACACTAGAATGCATAGGAAGAACGCTGACCCCAAAAAACATGTGGCAAAGGGAGCTAAACAATGAAGTAGAAAAGATAGGGAGGACATGCTGTGATCTGCTTGTGATAGTAAAGTACATGGGGTGATCTGCTTGTGATAGTAAAGTACACGGGGTGATCTGCATGTGATAGTAAAGTACACGGGGTGATCTGCTTGTGATAGTAAAGGATATGGGGTGATCTGCTTGTGATAGTAAAGGATATGGGGTGATCTGCATGTGATAGTAAAGTACACGGGGTGATCAGCTTGTGATAGTAAAGGATATGGGGTGATCTGCTTGTGATAGTAAAGTACACGGGGTGATCTGCTTGTGATAGTAAAGTACACAGGGTGATCTGCTTGTGATAGTAAAGTACACGGGGTGATCTGCTTGTGATAGTAAAGTACACGGGGTGATCTGCTTGTGATAGTAAAGTACATGGGGTGATCTGCTTGTGATAGTAAAGTACATGGGGTGATCTGCTTGTGATAGTAAAGTACATGGGGTGATCTGCTTGTGATAGTCTGGTCTGGTCTGGTAGTCTTAGTTTCAGCTTCATAGCAAACGGGTCGCCCCATCTTTGCTCCGCTCCTGTGCCAGCGAAAAACACTCAGAATGTCTATCACAGTGCCTTGTGGAAAAATTGACAGACTGCTGTCTCAGCATATCTAGCATACACTCGCATTAAAGCATATGGTAGCCATCCGAAGTGCTAACACAAACAGTCCAACATTAGAAATGCAGTTCATCATTGATGATAGCAGAACTTGTCGCCAACAAATCAGCAGTTGCCCGGGCGATCAGTTTTAATACGGGCCCCGCCAGCATTGCACGACAGGCATCGCGCCATTTTCTGAATCTACAATTCACACCACGTTGGTCACAGTCGAAAAAAGACATTCCAAATGCAATCCGCAGCTCACAGGGTCACGCCATGCATTCAACTCAGAAGCTGGGCGACGAAACTATATCCAGTCTACAAATGGAGCAAAAATACTTCGGCCACCGTCCGGCAGAAGCAAAAAATTTGCCTCTGCTCCGAACAGCGCCGCTGTCTAGCGTCCATTTTAACCGGAAGACCAAGTCATCATAGTGTTCTCCAATGCTTGTCTTCTCATCACAAGACCACAGATTACTGCCCGTCCCTTTCATATAATTGTACAGTTTTCTAATTTCATTAGCCCTTTCCAAGCAGTCGTCGTTTGTCACTCTATCAGTCCATGGTATCCACGTCCTAGAAACCACATTTCTACAGCCTCCAAGTTCTAAATTTGTTCATTCACATCAAGGTAAACAGGATCTGAATTATCTGACAAACAGGCTGGATCTGTAAAACAGATTTTCATGCAATTCCTGTTCTGGAACAAGACTAAAATCTAGAAGTGGATGAACAACCAGATCTTTCCACCAGAATTTACAGCTGGTCAATGCAAAAAAGAAGAGTTAGAATTTTTCACTTTTTGTGTGTTGAGTCACACATTTCATAAATAAATGACATTTCTAGACAAGTCATATATTATATATTAACACATGTATCTGGCAACAGTTTATTTAGGTAATGGCACATAATCTGGATGTTACAACATACTATCTGGCAACACTGTAAGAAAAGACACATGTATGTGGCAAAACTATTAGCAATGACAAGCTTATCTGACAAAACTGAAATAACGACACACTTATCTGACAAAGACAAGCTTACCTGGCTAAACTGAAATAACGACACACTTATCTGACAAAGACAGGCTTTTCTGGCAAAAATTAAATAACGACACACTTATCTGACAACACAACGCTGTTTGCAAGCAATTGGGTTTAGGAAGTTTTTAATCATATAAGCTGACGGCAATAAGGTGGCATTTCACACACGAATATCTTATCACACCATCTTTTAAATAACGACTGCAACCACACATTAGTCTCTTCTGGTGCCCGATCACTACTGGTCTGTTCACAAAAATGCCTGATAAACTTAACACAAATGAAATTAACATAGTAAACTAGGAAGATACAAGATGTTTTCTAAATGTTAAAAAACAAAATTGCATTCATTCCTGAATATCATGCAAGCAGATAAATATATAATGAAGAAATATCTCACCATAAAAAAATTTCAATTAAAAAAAAATTCAACTTTGCACTAGGGTCACACACACACAAAATCTACTCTCTAATTAAAATGAAAAGTACTATGCCCAAGTATTGCAGAATTATATAAAAAAAATTTATTCTCACATCACTATATAAAAAAATTTAAAATTAAAAAACACTTTATAAAATATAATAACAAACAGACAGACAGACAGACAGACACAAGACATACCTGCGAGTTCAATCATGAGCTAGACACAAGACATACCTGCGAGTTCAAACCCAGCTAGACACAAGACATACCTGCGAGTTCAAACCTGAGCTAGACACAAGAAATACCTGGGAGTTCAAACCAGAGTTAGACACAAGACATACCTGTGAGTTCAAACCCGAGCTAGACACAAGGCATACCTGTGAGTTCAAACCTGAGCTAGACACAAGACATACCTGCGAGTTCAAACCGGAGCTAGACATAAGACATACCTGCGAGTTCAAACCTGAGCTAGACACAAGACATAACTGTGAGTTCAAACCCGAGCCAGAAATAGGACATACCTGTGAGTTTAAACCCAAGCTAAACACAAGACATACCTGCGAGTTTAAACCCAAGCTAGACATAAGACATACCTGCGAGTTCAAACGCGAGCTAGACATGAGACATACCTGTGAGTTCAAACCCAAGCTAGACACAAGACATACCTGTGAGTTCAAACCCAAGCTAGACACAAGACATACCTGTGAGTTCAAACCCGAGCCAGAAACAGGACATACATCTGTGAGTTCAAACCCGAGCTAAACACAAGACGTACCTGTGAGTTCAAACCCGAGCCAAACACAAGACATACCTGTGAGTTCAAACCCGAGATAAACACAAGACATACCTGTGAGTTCAAACCCGAGCCAGTAACTGTAAGTGCTGCAGTTGTTTCTTCTTCTTCTGCTCCTTTCCCCTAATGGAGCAAAGGCCCTCAACCAAAGCACATCTAATCATTCTATACTTGTGATTCTATGCTTGTGATAGTAAAGTACATGGGGTGATCTGCTTGTGATAGTAAAGTACACGGGGTGATCTGCTTGTGATAGTAAAGGACATGGGGTGATCTGCTTGTGATAGTAAAGTACACGGGGTGATCTGCTTGTGATAGTAAAGTACACGGGGTGATCTGCATGTGATAGTAAAGTACACGGGGTGATCTGCTTGTGATAGTAAAGTACACGGGGTGATCTGCATGTGATAGTAAAGTACACGGGGTGATCTGCTTGTGATAGTAAAGGATATGGGGTGATCTGCTTGTGATAGTAAAGTACACGGGGTGATCTGCTTGTGATAGTAAAGTACACGGGGTGATCTGCTTGTGATAGTAAAGTACACGGGGTGATCTGCTTGTGATAGTAAAGTACACGGGGTGATCTGCTTGTGATAGTAAAGGATATGGGGTGATCTGCTTGTGATAGTAAAGTACACGGGGTGATCTGCTTGTGATAGTAAAGGATATGGGGTGATCTGCTTGTGATAGTAAAGGATATGGGGTGATCTGCTTGTGATAGTAAAGGATATGGGGTGATCTGCTTGTGATAGTAAAGTACACGGGGTGATCTGCTTGTGATAGTAAAGGATATGGGGTGATCTGCTTGTGATAGTAAAGGACATGGGGTGATCTGCTTGTGATAGTAAAGTACACGGGGTGATCTGCTTGTGATAGTAAAGTACACGGGGTGATCTGCTTGTGATAGTAAAGGATATGGGGTGATCTGCTTGTGATAGTAAAGGACACGCTGAGTTGGTTAAGGGCCAGTGCTTCATTGAAATAAAGACCAGAAGTTCATGAAATAATCAGGTTGAGTGGTTTTGGCCCTTGTTCAGTGCCAAAAAGTCCTAATGAAACTGATTCATTACTCATTTTATGAGACTAGCTGGCAAGACCATCACAAACCATTTCTTGCAAATCATCATCATCATTGTTTATTAGTCAATCTGCCTTGATGTTCAGATCTGTTAGAATGTCAGTATTTCTTCTCTTCTTTGTCCTTGGTATTCAGAGAATAATTCTATAGCATTTCAGCACAAAAGCCCCTATTTTCTTACTCGATGACTGAGAGATCTCTATGTTGCTGCCCGAAAGATGTATGCTCTTAAAACTTTGATTTCCTTAGTGGTACCTAACTATAGAGTTTTAAAAATCAGGTACATGTGAGTGATTTGTGTGTGTTTTTTGTTGACAGCTTGGTTCATTTCTGTTCAAGTGATGATTTCAGCATCCCTGTTGGTTATTTTCCTCGTTTCTGTGACCCTGACACTGAATGTTTTCCGATTGTTCCCGAAACAAATGGACTATGCAGTTTATCTTGGCACAGCCCTGGGAATGGCTGCCTGCGGTGAGTGTCTCAAAAGTATATTTCTCTCTTACAAAATTGTTTTCATTTGTGAGCTTTATTTAAAAGTAAAGATAACTGAGAAGTTAAACTGACCAATTCATCTAAGGCTCAGGGACTACAAACATGGCTCATCATTCTGAAATACTGAGTTGGATTCTGCTGTAGGTGATTTTGCAGCAAACCACTTTGCATTAATTTCAACACTGGTATTGAGTGTTGACCGTTCAGAGAGCTGTGGCAAACTACTAAATGTAAAATTGCTTAGTAAAATCACAGCCCTCAAGTACTGGCATTGGTCTGTAACATGCTGTAAAGGATATGCAGCTACACCTGGTGTATACACAGCTGGTCAGGTAGTAGACTACATGCTTTCAGAATGCAGTTATTAGGTCGACAGGTATCCTTTGATGCCTTTGGTTCAGCTGTAGAAGAGAAGTCACCGCCTAATGCAAGTTTGAGAGTGTTCCAAGCTGTAAGATGAAATTATTTCCATGTGTAGGGCCTTGTGATTTAGGAACACCCAGAACAATGGAGACTGATTGTCGAATACACATCTGAAGTAGACAGTTTCTTGCTTAATGCCATAGAGATCTTCACAATCAAAGAGGTGAACAGACTGCATAATACAGCAGCATGTTACAGGAGGCGATTCAGGTGGAGAACCCTGAGTATCATGCTGCAGGTTTCATTAATTGGAGAGGAACTGTTTGCCATGATATCCTTATTACTGCTCCTGTCTCTCCTTTTAGTTCAGACTTTTGTTTGAGGTTGCATTGAAAGAGCGTCTGGTTTGTACCATCGGCTTGGTGATATGGCTGCTGACCTGATCATGTGACTGCTGACCTACGGCTATGATTGCTATGCCAGATGGAAATACTGATAGGAAGTTGTCAGTTGCTGTTAGATAATGTTAATTCCTCACAATTATAATTTATGTGATACTTGGGTAAGCTGAGCCATTTCAGGACAGCAGAAGTGGGGTCACTGGGAAAATTGCAAAGAATTTCACCGACCAACAGAAAGATGAGACCGCCTCCAAGAAACAGCTGGAAACCTCAAGTTGATAAGAGAAGGTAGAAGACGACAGTCCTAAATGTCTAGACATGTTATATAACACATTGGGTGGAAAAGGAGCATGAGAGAGACAAATAGCTGAGTTAAGAACAAGACTCAGGAGGTTCCTGCAAACAACACTTCCTCATCTTCAGCAGCCAGCACAGTCCCCATAGTAATGTTGTTGTTGTTGGATTTTATGTCTGTCTGGCATTTCCTCTCAGTGTTGATTGTTGGTCACATCTTCAGATCACTTCTTGCTGCAACAGTCTCTCCAGACCATGATTTCAGGACCCACATTGTTCACCTGAAGGATTTTCTGTCTTACACCCATGATGCAGTTTATCATCTTTTTGCATTCCTCCTCTCTTTGAATCTTACAGCCATGTTGCAGTTTATCATTTTTTTTCATTCCTCTTCTCTTTGTATCTTACACCCATGATGCAGTTTATCATCTTTTTGCATTCCTCTTCTCTATGTATCTTACAGTTGAAAACCATGATCATTCTCTTGTAGGCTTGTCTTCTATGATCATTCTCTTGTAGGCTTGTCTTCTACTATCGTTCTCTTGAAGGCTTGTCTTCCATGATCATTCTCTTGTAGGCTTTCTTCTATTATCATTCTCGTGTAGGCTTGTCTTCCGTTATCATTCTCTTATAGGCTTGTCTTCCATGACCATTCTCTTGTAGGCTTGTCTTCCATGACCATTCTCTTGTAGGCTTGTCTTGCATGATCATTCTCTTGTAGGCTTGTCTTCCATGTTCATTCTCTTGTAGGCTTGTCTTCCATGATCATTCTCTTGTAGGCTTGTCTTCCATGATTGTCCTCTTGTAGGCTTTCTTCTATTATCATTCTCGTGTAAGCTTGTCTTCCTTGATCATTCTTTTGTAGGCTTGTCTTCCATGATCGTTCTCTTGTAGGCTTGTCTTCCATGATCATTCTCTTGTAGGCTTGCCTTCCACCATCATTCTCTTGTAGGCTTGTCTTTCACTTCTCCTTCTGGCAGAGTTTGTTTTGTGTCGAAATTAATGTATCTTACTTTGTGCTTCCATCAATGGTGATTGCATTTCTATTGTCGGACTGTTTGTGTTGACCCTCCTGACAGCTACCTTATGTATTTAATGCTTGTGTATGCCATTGGATTTGCTGAGACTGCAGTATGTGTCAGTGTTTAGTGTTTAGTGATGTTCTGTGGAGTTTTGTTGGTACAGGAATGGAGCAACTATGGGGTTACCCCTTGGCTATGGAGTATTGTTGGTACAGGAATGGAGCAACTATGGGGTTACCCCTTGGCTATGGAGTTTTGTTGGTACAGGAATGGAGCAACTATGGGGTTACCCCTTGGCTGTGGAGTTTTGTTGGTACAGGAATAGAGCAACTATGGGGTTACCCCTTGGCTGTGGAGTTTTGTTGGTGCAGGAATGGAGCAACTATGGGGTTACCCCTTGGCTATGGAGTTTTGTTGGTGCAGGAATGGAGCAACTATGGGGTTAACCCCTTCGCTATGAAGTTGGAGGTGTGATTACTTGATCTATTTAGAATAAAATTGGTTAAAGAACTAATGACTATGATTTGGTTTAATCATCTGAATGTTTAAATTCATCCCATATTTTCTTGTCATCTGCAGCTCTTACAATTCTAATAGCTCTGATTGTCTTTGGAGTGTATAAAGAAGACCGGCGCTGGGTGCCACGCCCTGACATGAACCTGTTGTCCTGGTCGTACGGAATGTGTGTCATGGCGGGATGGTTCTCTCTGTTTGCTGCTGTCTGTCTGTACCTGGCTGGCAAGGAAAAGAAAACAGAATTTGACAACAGCAAGTTCTCATCCCACGTAACCACGTATACCTAATCAGGAAGTTACACAAATGCACTTTTTATGTACATATGACTACAAGTTCCAGAGAAAGAGTCTTTATCAGCCATTTTAAGCAGGAACCAAAAATATTCTTTGTAGAAGATATCCATTGTTTGTGAGAGGTCACCAGTATTCTCTCTTGTCAAGGTTGATCTCTGCTTCTCCGATATTCTACTTGTTATCTCAGTCTCTTCTGTAGTGTCAGCCACAGTTGAAACATAAGGCTCTTCCTCTTTCAGCTCTGTGCCTTCTTGGACTCCTAAATAATAGCATCAGTTGTTATCGAAACCACCAGTTTGTTTTATGTATTTGTTTTCTGTCCATATCAGGTACCTTTTTTTTTTTTCATTTTATGTAAACTTTGTGTGCTTGCAGTTGCTGTTCTTTAACATTTTACTAATGTGATTTTAAAACTCAGCTCATTTCAGTAATTTGACTCAACATTAGTAACAGTACTTTTTGTTTCTCATGCATGTGTAGGTTTTCATTCTGTAAGGTTTCTTTGGAATTATTTGGTTTAGTCTCATTTTCCATTTTATTTGAGATTTATTTTATGAATTGACTGTTTACAAAAAATGGAGGAAAGATTCATGAACAGTCTATCAAAGTAAAATTATCAGGATTTCATTTGAAACCAGCTGTAAATTTTTTGTGAACTCAAAATAAAGGATAGACCTCACCTTACTTATCCTAATTTATTCTCTGGGTGGACAGGTTTGAGCTAACTCCAGCCCTACAGTTTCAGCTGGGCTGGACAATTTAATAAACTCAAAATAAATTATTAGGAAAGAAAGGACAAAAAGGCATAGCTACAGTATAAAACTACCATTGACAATTTGGTGATAATAGAAATAGTGAGTACATGCTCCATGGACCTGACCTCATAAATATTGAATCCTGAATTCTTTCTATCTCAGACAACATGTCATGTATGATTAGCTGTTCTTCCTGTTTGCCGATCAACATGTTACATTTGGTTGTATTTCCAAAACTCTTGTGAGTGTGGTGGTATTACTTCCATTCATCGGTGCTGTCACTTTTGAGATGAACAAGCAGACTTTTTTTTTTCCAGAGGGTCACCAACTGAGCAACCATGCCTGTCTTGTATTCGACCTTTCCAAACACTTATCTTTATTTTGTGCTTCTGATTTTTCAGTCACCTGTGCAGTTTCACTGGCAGCTTTCAGTTGGATTATTTCTTTCACTTCATCAGAACAAGCTGTTTGAATGTTTGAACAGAAATTAGACACATATTTGCTATTTTCATTTTGTATTTGCAAATTTTCCCAAGTGAAGTGGACAGTTGATTAATTGACTCAATAGAGTTGTTATTTTTCAAATACCCTTTTGTAGTGCCTACTGTTTGTATAATACAATCTGCTGCATAGTTACAGCTTACCAGTGTACATATAACATTGTGTTGTCTATGCTAGAGTTTTAGCCTGGAATGATCTGTGTGGTTGTGTGAGTAAGTGCAAGCCTGGAATGATCTGTCAGTATGTGTGGTTATGTGAGTAAATGCAAGCCTGGAATGATCTGTCTGTATGTGTGGTTATGTGAGTAAGTGCAAGCCTGGAATGATCTGTCAGTATGTGTGGTTATGTGAGTAAGTGCAAGAATGGGACTGGTGTGTTCATGATGATCACCCTGCAGAGGAAGCAGCTTGCTCAATGGTTAGAGTAATTACCTCACAATCTGGGAACATAGGTCAGTCTTGGTCAGACATGGGTTATGTGTGTTGCAGATGAAGTCCAGAAGTCAGCCTTCCAATTGCGGCCCATATCTAGGGCTAGCAGCATTGCTGCGCACACACAACTCACTGATACTAGACAGTGTCAGTGGTTACATGACCGTTACAGTAGAATCTTCTTCCAAGATTTCATGTTGCTCATATGTATTTAAAGCCTTGTGAATTATTGTTGTTGTTAAATTTCTCATGAACATTCCAGTTGACAATAAGGGTTGTGGAACATTACATGCAACATTCCAGTAGACTTTAATATTTTGAAACTGAATATGCAGCATTCCATAAAGAAGTTTTTAAGTTTGGTTCACTTTATTTTCCAGACATTCCACAAACTGTTCAATTTTTTCTAAACTATTTTGTTAATACATGATTTTTTTCTTTCTGTGTGATTTAAAAAGGGTTACTGCTGGTAAGATAAAGTGAAGTGTGACTGAATCGACACATGTGTACTACAATGAAATGTTAGACTCACAGATATTAGGTCATATTGTTAGATAGATGAAAATGACCAGTTGACTTCCTTGCTGCTTGTCTTAACATCCGAAACTCTAGTGCCTCATTTATCAAGCTAGGTTGACTGAAAAAATCTGCAACAAATGTATAAATGTTACTCAATAGCTAAGGTAGTGTGGATGTACTGTATAGTCCTGAAATCTCATGTTCTAATTGTGAATAACCTTCTTGACTTCAGCTTGTCTTGCTAGTCACACTTCCCATCGCTGTGGGCTGTGGTTCTGGGTGCCTCCCTATAGCATAGTATGAGACTGTCAACTGGAGACACAGAAAGATGCCAACCATCAACTGGGAGGACAGAAAAATGCCACCCATCAACTAGAAAGACAGAAAGGTGCCAACTGTCACCTGGAAAGACAGAAAGGTGCCAACAGGTGGAGCTACATCGTAGGACTGGGTAGTCACTGGCATGCTCAGTGTCTAGTGATATAGCTGGTGATTACATAACAAAGCACTGCAGTGCATGTGAGACAAGGGACTCCAGGATTTATAACACAATAGGACCAAACAATTATGCAGGTGTGTCTCTCAACTGTTCCGTGTGCACCAGACATTATTTAGTATTTTTATATTTCAGCTATATATCATTAACTGTATTGTCTTTTCTCATGTTAGTAAATATTTTTATTTTCTTCCTCAAAAATAATTGTTATAAACTGGATTAGTTATGTTTTATTATAATAAAATACACTAATGAAAACCTTTCTATATTGTCTGATGCTTAGTTTCGTTCTTGTGACTTGCTAGCACAAGTGACCATCTCTCAGTCTCTGTTGGTGGTTGTTAATTTGTAGATATGTCTCTGTACCATGATCCGAAAGTATCTTGCAGTATTATTATTAGGGCTGTACCGAATATTCACTTTGTATTCGCTTCAGGGCCGAATAGTAGACATATTGACTATTCGGTATTCAGCCGAATCGGTGCGCTCAGGCTAAATATGAATAGTAGTTACCTTACACCCGCTTCTGCATACACGGCCCTAATACTGACAGCATGGAACGATTGGTTTTGTTGAAAGTTAATGCAGCTTTCCTGCATTAACTAAGCTGTCAGTGGCAATTTCCAAGTTTAGTTACTTGTTATAATACTTAGGATTCTTTCATTCCTAGTTATTAGTTACCACAGACTGACTGAACGATGCAAAACAGAAAATTTTTTTTTAAATGTTTACTATTCTGAACGAATGCTAACTAGACATGGAAAGAATATAAACTCTGGCCACATCCAAGTTGATAATATGAAAATCAAACGAACGGAAACATATAAGTACTTGGGTGCAAACTTCAACTGCTCCAACATGCTGAGAGAAGAAATACAATCTAGAAATAAACTATACTATGCCCTTCAACATCTGCTAAAGTGAAAGTGCTGTCTCGCAACACCAAAATCAAAACGTTGATAAGACCAGTCGTGTTATATGGCTCTGAAACTTGAAGCAGAAATAAAAGAGATGAGGCCTCATTACAGGCTTTCAAAACAGTCTTACGACAAATCTTTGGACCCATCAAAGATGCTAACAGCGGGGAATGGAGAGTAAGAAGCAACGACGTAACACATAATCTGTTTAAATCACCATTGATCACTGGCATCGTGAAAACTAACAGACTAAAATGGTTGAGGCATATTAAAAAAATGTCAGATGACAGAGAAGTAAAACTGTATACACCTGAGAGAGGAATGTGCGTAGACCACGAGGCAGACACAAAAAATAAGTTCGAGAGATAATGTCCAGCCAGACCTACAAACAACTGGTGTCATAAATTGTGAAGATAAGGCCAGCCAGAGAGATGAATGAAGACCAGTGAAATATGCAGCAGTAAACTTCAAGGGTTCAGAATGCTAAAGTAGAAGATGACTATTCTGTGCTACTTTATGTGAAGCAAAAGTTCAGCGTATATTTGACATTCCGTTCTATTCCGTGCAGTCATTTTGATCTTGTGGATAGAATCCAGTCCTCTGTATGTGTCGGGGCCTCTTTGTGGATTGAATCCAGTCCTTCCTGTGTGTGTCCTGTGGCCTCTTTGTGGATAGAATCCAGTTCTCTGTATGTGTCAGGGCCTCTTTGTGGATAGAATCCAATCCTTCCTGTATGTGTCAGGGCCTCTTTGTGGATAGAATCCAATCCTTCCTGTGTGTGTCCTGTGGCCTCTTTGTGGATAGAATCCAGTCCTTCCTGTGTATGTCCCAGGGCCTCTTTGTGGGTAGAATCCAGTCCTTCCTGTGTGTGTCCTGGGGCCTCCTTGTGGATAGAATCCAGTCCTCTGTATGTGTCGGGACCTCTTTGTGGATTGAATCCAGTCCTTCCTGTGTGTGTCCTGTGGCCTCTTTGTGGATAGAATCCAGTTCTCTGTATGTGTCAGGGCCTCTTTGTGGATAGAATCCAATCCTTCCTGTGTGTGTCCTGTGGCCTCCTTGTGGATAGAATCCAGTCCTCTGTGTGTCGGGGCCTCTTTGTGGATAGAATCCAGTCCTTCCTGTGTATGTCCCAGGGCCTCTTTGTGGGTAGAATCCAGTCCTTCCTGTGTGTGTCCTGGGGCCTCCTTGTGGATAGAATCCAGTCCTCTGTATGTGTCGGGACCTCTTTGTGGATAGAATCCAGTCCTCTGTATGTGTCGGGGCCTCTTTGTGGATAGAATCAAGTCCTTCCTGTGTGTGTCCCGGGGCCTCCTTGTGGATGGAATCCAGTCCTCCCTGTGTGTATCCCAGTGCCTCCTTGTGGATGGAATCCAGT